AGAAAATAAAACCCAGGAGAGGCGATTAAGGTGGCAGTGACTTCCGCGCAGACCCAAGCGCACCGGAACGGCAGCTGATTGACGGACAGTTGGAGCAGCGGGCGTTCGAGGGCAGCGGAGGTGGCGCGGGAAGTGACGCGTCGCAGGAAAGTGTCGGAACACTGCGGGGCTTCCCGAAAATTGCTTTCGGAAGTTCGTCACAACAAGCCTTGCTCTCTCTCGTTTTATCTTCTTTTTTTTTTCTCTATCACTTTGAAACTTCTTACGGATGGTGGCTGTTTGCAGAAGACTATATAAAACGGCGATGGACACAGCTCAAGCTTCCCGTTGCTTTCTTCAACGTCGAACTTTCACTGCTCTTTTGCTTAATTGCTTATATCTGCTCACTTGCTGAAAAAAAAAAAGAACAAGCACATGCTCCCACACGACGAACAGCTGGAAGGTGTTCGAAGCTTTTTTTAGCTGTAGAAGCCTTTGGTCGGGGCCAATTGATTCGCCTGACGGGCGGCAAAGGCAGGAGGTCATCCACCCATATCGGCAGCACTTGCAGGCGAAGAGGCTTTGGACACGTGTGAAATTGCAGGCGTCTTTCCGGATGAGCGATCGTTGACTCTTCAACTGTCTCCGCGAGGTGTGAAGGTTCGGCTTCGCCCTCACGAAGGTGTCAATGTCCGCGTGGCTTTAAGTATATAGGGCTTCCTGAAGAATCATTCTCAGCGCGAAGTGCGGTACTGCATAGCCACGTGACGACCTGCTCCCAAACAACAGTGTTTCGTGTGAAATACGAATAAAGTTTCTAAATGCTGAAAATCTTTGATAACTAACCGATTCTGTCGAGATGGCTTTTGCAGCCAATGCGTGTATACGAAACTTACACGATGTAGCAGTAAAACGAAGTGTTATGTAAACTATAACTAACTAAACTCTTTTTCTGTAACAAAGATAGGTGGACGATTGATACCATCATGAAAAGCCTGAAGCCTGCCATCCGATGGCAAAGAAAATGGCTGCAGATAATAATGAATTTGATGCAGTTAATTTAATCGCCATGCATTGAATCTGGCAAATTTATTTCAGCTAAAAACTGAAATTAATATGCCAAATAGCTTCATCGATGGGCGGTAATTACACCGGGGTGATATATCAGAACGCCAGCGTAAATAGGTATTAGATATTAGGGGCACGTTAAGGAAATTTATAGGTGGCCAAAGTTAATCTGGAGTCCCCGAATAAGGTGTGCCTCATAGTAGTATAGCGGCTTTGTCATGAGAAATCTCAAAATTTAGTTATAAACTTGAATGATGAGATTTAGAGGAGGGCCATTATCACGCCCAAACGATAACGTCCCCGACTCACCACCTGCACATCCCGAACTGAACTTGCACTAACACAAAGATACAATCTCTCGCTCACTGCATGCCCCCGAGAAGATATGGCACGTTCGCAACGATTTGGGGATTTATACAGCGCATTTTATGAAACGCCGAGAGTGTTGCAAACGAGAAATCACCTGTCACATTGCACATACGAGTCTTCTTCGTAGTTTTGTTTCTAACATTTCCGGCTGATGCGTCAAACACGAAGGTGACCGATGCCCGAACAGAGTATAGGGATATACGCACGGACCTGATTGTTCAACTCTTTTCTGTTACTCCGCTGCGGTGTATTCAAGGTCACCCGAAAAGCTCAAAGCAGCCTATAGCACACGGGTTGCAAACTATATTGAGCGATCACCAAGCCGATATGTCGGTGTTTATCGGCACATCATTTTAAACTGCCTCGCCGGAGAATAATTTGCAGCATAAACATCATTCAGGGGGGCAACCCTTCATGAACGCATATTATAATATGACCAGGTATAGTTAGCCGTACGTATATAGGCGAGCCAGTAGAGCCATGCAAGATTCCACAACCAGGAACACGTTATCCTTCCTGTATGGGTGATTTATATGCCACTCGTGTCCGCGGCATTATTAAACACTAGTAGCCGCTACGAACAACACCTGCGCACCCTCGTAGCGCTCCTCTTTTCAAAGATGGTTCTATAGATAATCTCACAACACGCTACCGATCTGATGGACTTCGCCTTCTTCGATCTTTTATCGCCGCGGTGTGGGATAAACCTCACGACAATCGTGCTCGCCTTATTATAAAGACGGAACACGCGATGGTTGACCAAGGTTGGAACGTTAATCTCCTGAGCCCGCGTTTATAGATATCTGTATACGCTCCGCGAGAGCTTTACAAAAGTTTTATCGTTGTAACACAATGCACAGCAGCAGAGATGCATGCTCCGCACTCTGCAACCGTTTCGAGGAACGTAAACCAATCCGGTGGCACGTATGTTAGGGCCAGCGAGCACGGCAACGGCACTTCGTGACCAATCGATGGCGTGTGCGTCGGATTACAACGTGTGGCTCGTTGTCAGTTTTATCGTGGGCGTGCTCGGGTTCAAATCTGTGTTGCGAGTTAGCGAGTTCGCGCTCTAGTTTTCCCGCCTATTCTCTATTCGTTAGAGACGATGACCTGTACCAGCGCGCTTCGCAATGGAAGTGTTGCCGTCAACGTTATTTTCGTGTAACGCTCTTCCTCCGGTGAAAACAAGAAGGAAAGCTCCGCAAATCTTTTGATTTGAGCTGTGTCATTTTCTTATAGTTTACAGTTCACTTATGAGCGAAACTACACCCAGCTTTATGAAATTCTATAGAGGCCACACAGGAATATAGCAACATCTTAACACAGGGTCTCAAGCTCGTGGGCCTCGGTACCCCTTCGCTGACGACCGGTGGATTAACAAGAGATAAAGTGTTGTGGCTTTCCTAAATGGTATTCTCATTATTTTCTCCTTTATTGCGAATAATAACGCTTTGTTCGGTTACGCTACGGAGACGAGACGGGTCGCAACGATTTCTTTTCTAGGTCCCCCATGCAATCACTAGGTGTCTAAACAGGACGTTTGAACAACATCTTATTTCAGAACTGTATCGATATCATCCCAGTATAGATATATTTATCTAAACCTGATTTGACACATGCCTATACCAGGTCTGGGGAAGACGCTCTTTAGTTAGGACGGTACCTTTAGGCGATACTTTGTTCAAGCTACCCCTCCCCCCTCCCATCCATTGCACTCCAACCATCTTCACTGTACGGCGTCCCAAAACTGCGGTCTGCCAGCTGAGATGCGCTCAAGACCCGTCTTGACATATAACAAGTGAAATATGTCAATATATCTGTATCAGTTGTCAGCAATCACAGAACAGTGGGAAGTTACTTATGGATGGACATTCGCATATACTTAATCCCAGCATGATATGAAGGCACCGCAGGAGAATACACACATAATAAGAGTTCACACACATGAGATGTCTCCACGTTGCCGTAAAGTTCAACAAAATGTCTGCTTTTGTTCAGAGTGACTGACATAAACTGTACGACAGTTTGATGACGTCGCTTTTCCCGGATACTAAAAATTAGGAAGTGTGCAGTATGATGATGTGACCCGTTATTCCGACAAGCGTATGTCTGTTCCGTAAGGTGTGAAAGTATGTTCACGTTAATGTTGTGTATTAGTTGTAGTGTGCATCATCTAATATTCTTTTATTCCAGAATATGGTGTTGTATTACATATGACGATTGATATTTCGTTACGCGGAAATCACTGAGATGAAATCACCAAAAGTTCGTCTATAGTTCCAGCGCCTTCATTGCGTGTGCTTGCTTCCTGTCAGTGCTTGATGTGTGCAAATTTAGCATATCTGTAAAACGTATGAAGACCAATTCGTTTTGCAATGATGCAAGATATACTACACATTTATGCAACAAAACGGCTAGAAAACGCCAAAGTAGAAGCTTTTCTTGTCATTAATCTTGTTTTCGTATCTCTGTGGAATGACATTAAGATGATTTTTTTTTTTTTGTTCAAGCTGTATCTCATAAAGAAAGCCGGGGATGTTGACGTAATGCACTAGGCTTCCTTTCAACAAAGGCTGACTGAACCTTCAGATTCAGTTATTTCTGGAATGATGCCCGTAGCCATTCCTCAGAGACCATGCGACAGTGGGGCTTCATTCATTGTCCTGTAGCCGCTTCGAATTGATTATCGTTGGCATGCGAGCAGGACCGCGGGGGGTCGAGTGACGTTCGGCGGTATATAGAGAGGTGTCAGGAGACGCAGATGGGGGGGGGGGGGTACACTCAATTTCAGAGGCGGCAAAAATATGGCGCCCGAAGCACACACGATACGCGGCCGCACACGCGCATAGTCTTGGAGAAGATGGCCCTTTTCGAATTCATTTTCCTCGCGCACGGGAGGCCGCAGTGGCGCTGTTATCCAAGAAAACAAACGCTAGCGGAGGCGACGAGCTCGGCAGTCGCGAGCGGCGGCCTCAAGAAGCGAACAGGTGAAGATGCTATCGGGCCGAGAAGGAGAACGGCGGGAGCGATTCCTTCTTCCCTGACGCCTATCTGGCGGCGGACCGTCCCGCGCCGAACGCAAAGCCACGCCTTCTTGCGCAGCGAGGGCCCCGTACGGCGAGCGATAAGCGACGCAAACACAAAAGGCGGGGGGACGGCGGGGTGGGGGGGCGAGCGCGCGAGGAGCGGTCAAGGAAGCGAACCCAAAACCGAAACTCCTCCCCTGCTTCTCCGTCGACGCTGGAGGAGGCTCGCCGCTCTTCCTCCTCCTCGCTACGCCGCCAGCTGAGGAGAAGTGATCGAGCGCGCGCCTCTTGCTCTTCATCGCGCGCGCGCTCGTGCACCTCGTCGTACGCAAATCTTCGTCTCCTCCCTCTTCCCGCTCTCAACGCTCTCCCCGATACGGCCGCAACTACCTCAGCAGCAGCGTCCGGCTTTAACGCGCGCTTGTACCCCCAGATGGAGCGACTTGTGCATTTTGTTGTAAGCGCCCAGCGGGCGCATGCGTGAGGAGGTGCGCGCTTTGGGTCGCCGCAGCGCCGCCGCCGCTCTTCTTCCCGACTCGCAAAGCGTAGCCTGGCCGCCGTGCGGTCCGGAGGGAAACGCGCCGATCCAACGACGTGCGCCTCGCGTCGCACCGGTCTCGGAAAAACGCGCGCGCTGTCGCGCTTCTTCCAGTGCTCCAGTAGTGCGCCGCGCTCTGTTTCAGTTTCGGTTTTGCGCGTGTGGGGCCCTCTGTGCGTTCTGTCGCCTAGGCTGCGCGTCGCTTTGAATTCGCCCGACGGGAACGCTCGTCCCTGCTTTCCCCTGGTGCCGACTACTGGTGTACCCATGTGTGATCGTTGGTGTCCTGTCGTTCGTCGCCACGCTGGTGGCTGTGCGTCGTGTGGTCGCTCACCGGTGTATGGCTAACTTCTCCACAGACAAACCGGCGAGCAGCGGCGCTACGAGCAACGGCGGTGTCGTGGGCGTCGGTCCGGCGGCCGGCGTGACGACGGCGAGCCGACGCAAGCGGTCGTCGGCGGCTGCGTCGCAGCTCCTCCCGGTCAACGGGACGGCGCTGTTGACGCACCCGGCCAGCGACATCAAGGTGGAGAGGCTGTCGCCCGAGTCGGACACGGCGTCGCCCCAGTCTTCGCCGTCTCCGGCGCGGGTCTTCCCGCCCGGACTCGGTTTCGTTTTGGGCCTGCGGCCGGGCCTCGTGCCGGGACACCCGTTCCCACCGGGAGTCATCGCGGCCGCGGCCGCGCAGGCCGCCGTCGACAGGCAGACGCTGGCCGCGCCGGCGCTCAAGCAGGTGGAGATGATGACGAGGAACTACTCGGACTTCATGAGGTCGCTTGCTGCCAAGTACAACAACCCGACCGGACAGGACGGGTGAGTACCGCCTTCTCTCTTGATCTGCATCGTGCGCACGGTGTTTAGCCTTGTATTACAGGTAGCAGGTGATCAACTCTCAGCCGGATATTATTATTATTATTTAGGTGCTATAGTCACTACTATCATACCATGCAGTCGCCGAGTTTCTCCACTCTTGGAGTAATGAAAAACTGACACGCCATTAGTATTGGACGAAGTGTTACACCGTGTGTGGATATACGAAGCCATAGCACCAACCGCCGCCATGTGGTCGAAACTTACAAAGCATTTTCGCTGGTTCGGAGGATCCAGTGATAACTAGCGGTCGCCAAGTTTCTCCACTCTTGGAGTAAGGAAAAACTGAGACGTCATTTGTACTGAACGAAGTGTTACACCGTGTGTGGATATACGAAGCCATAGCATGCACCAACCACCGCCATGTGGTCGAAACTTGCAAAGCACTTTCGCTGGTTCGGAAGATCCAGTGATAACTAATATAGCGCTGTTGACGAGGTTTGTACTTCTGGGCACATAACAGTTAGCCGTGCGGGGGAATATAATTTACAACTATAGCGGATTAAAATCTTGTGATCGGGAGCTTGCGGTTTGCAGTGAATGAAAACATACAGCCTTTCTCTTGTTGTCCGGCTTTTTCTACATGACCACACATTTGTAAGGGTATTTACCGCCTGGCGCTACGAACTTGAATACAGTTCCGTATTCTGAACATGCTTAAGCGTAATGTGCGACGTTGAATACGAAAGGCTTAACGTCTGTGTGGATACATACCGCTGTATAGTAGACGCACTGAAAGATTGTACAGATTTCGCATAATATGATGCCTGCACGAAGGCAAACAAAAAAGAAATAGAAGAGTGTTTACGGGGCTTGCATCTTCAGCACGGTTTACAGATCCAACAACTTCAATTTACACGAGACCTATAGGGGCATAACATTCCGACTGCATTTTATATTTTGATATATTATGATTACGTAATAATTGATTGATATGCGGGGTTTAACGTCCCAAAACCACCACGAGAGATGCCCGTAGTGGAGCGCTCCGGAAATTTCGACCACCTGTGGTTCTTTCAGATGCACGCAAATTTGAGCACACGGGCCTACAGCATTTTGGCCTTTATCGAAAACGCAGCCACCGCGTAATATTGCTTGGTTTGTAAGTGGTACTCGAGTCGGGATAGGAAGGGAAAACGACGCGCTGCCACGCTCGAAATTCCAGTCCGACCGGAGTGCTTTCAAGTCAGTCGGTGCACAAGTCCGAGTTACACATGAGTTTATATTCACTTACGGCGTACCACAAGCAAACAAATGAAGGGCCGTGTTGGTAAGGCGTCATTTTGAAGGCCTTTCTTTCTTCTCAGTGTGGTGCAACCAGTACAAGGACGCAGACAAGGAACGAAACGCAGTGTATGCGCGTTCTTCCTTCTGTCTGTCCTTGTGCTGGTTGCGCTGCAATCTGAAAGGAATCGTCAAATGTGTTTTTTAAACTATCAGCTGCTCCTATTGTGAATGTCGCATGTGTACCGTTCGATATATGAGGGGCAAAGGGGGGGGGGGGGGAGAATAGTGGCTCAGGGTAAAACTCACTGATGAGAGCTGTTTATTGGCACGGATCCACTCTATGTGCATAATAGTGTAAAGATAAGTCCAGAGAAACGGTGTGTGTATACACAGAGTCTGCTCATATACGCGAACTTACGTGCGCGAATTAACGAAAGGCCTCCATTTACAAAAACGCATTACGTGCAAAAATATTCGTAAGGAAATATGTATGTTAATCGCGGTGCTGGACATGTACATCATTTGGCCGTTCAAAGCGAAATAGCGTTTACGAAAGAAAATGTAATTCGTTTTCTGCTATATCAATATATATAGGCCTCTTGAAACCTGTATTCTTGTTCACTATGAAACCTGTATTCTTGTTCACCGGGCATGTCCAAGAGATTTTACAGTCGCTACTTGTTCAATACACGAACGTGATACAGACAAATTCTTCGAAATTGTTACACTTAAAAGTAATAAAACCACCTCCATTCACCGTTTTTGTCTACATCCCAAGGTCGTCTTGTGTAATATTTTGGTGCATGAGTCGCCAGTAATATGGACTTTCTTGTTCTACTGTGCTTCGAAGCAATGCGATGATTAAGTCACCCGTGCTTCGGGTTTTCCGTCTTCCTTTATAGGATACTTGACAACGAAAGCATATAGGAACGCGGAGGCATAATACGGTTTCGATTTCTCCAGAATACAGATAAAAGTTTCTTTTCTGGCATTTATATATGTTTCGTTACAACAGCGTTGTGCTGTAGTAAACTCACTTCTAAATACAATTAGGCTATATACGTGCACTCAGTAGCACTATAACGCACTTCTTTTATTTAATTTTCAAAAAAATATTGATTTGACAGCCGACCTTTGTGGGCATTGTACAGTAAACGTAATCATATACGGTGATGATTCCTCTTTGCACGTTGCTAGTTTATTGCGCGCCGCGTGTACTATTGAACCAACTATATATACAGGGACTAAGGACGATTATAGAATGAATAGAAATTTTCTGTATGCAGAATTTGATCGTCATTAAACATATACTGCGTACAGCCTGAAATTTAGAGGTCATTGCCCAATAGGGGCTTCCCGAAGACATTTTAGTGTTTGATGCGTGGCCTTCGATCAATATCTGAGATGTCTGTGATAACGACGTCAGTCGATTAACTTCAACGGAGACTGCGTGCCTGCTAAAAGACAGAAAAAAAAACAAACGGTTCTCAAAATCAGTATGTTTGTCATTTTTATTTAAACGTACCATTCTTTTTTTTTAACTGCTGCTGTTCAATTCATAGCTGAAATATCGTATGCGAGAAACACATGTACTATACGGGAAGTGACGGGATCAATTGTAAAGTCCATGCGCACATATAGGTTTAGTATAAAAAAGTACACCAAACTTCGTTTTTTTTTTTTTACATGCATGACATGTATTCGATTTAAACGTGGTTACACTGGCGAGAAACGTTCGCTGAAACGGCGCTATATAAATTCTAGTAGAGTATCTATAGCGCTCTGTATAGGGTATATACAGAAATTAAACTCAAAAGTCTCTCCTGTGCACATTAGGTAAGCTGCCGTGCCGAAGCTATATGATGATGATGACGATTCTACAGCCGTGGCTCGTACCCACTCAGGGGGATCGGCAAGAATTGATGACTTAATTCAGTAAGATATTTTTTTTTTTTTGCAATATCGAAACCACCCACCAGAAAAAAGAAAGAAAAAAGAAAAGACACCCGAGGCAGAATGAAAGGAGTGCAATAGCTGTTTATGGTTCGCTTTTCGTTTTTTTTTTGTTTACTGCCATTTGCGCATTACGGTTGCATTCAAACGCAAGTCACCGTCTGAGATCTGTGCACATTTCGCATGCCTCAGTGGGCTCGAAAACTCTGTGGCCTTTTGCTGAACATCGCTACGCAGCATCTCGCAAGACTCCACCATGCATGTCACGTTTGCGTAGTCAGGCAACGTATACACCATTATGCGCTGACAACAAAGTAATTGAATTTCTCAGTGCTCTCAGTGTTTAGAAGGAGGTTGATCTGGCTATAAGAACGTTCAGCAGTGTATCTGAAAGAAAAACAAAAGAAGAACAGACTATACAAGCTTATAACCATACACGAGGAAGTTTCAGGTTTTTTTCCGTGTACAGACGAGCAAAAAGCAGCACTGATAGCACTAGAACGAACGCGAGGTATTTCTTTTGCGTTTGACGCGTCAATTTATACCTTAAGTTGGTATTTTACCACGCTTCTGTATAGTAATGTACAGCAAGGTGCTGAGGCGAAAGGGGGGGGGGGAAGAAAACAGTGAAATTAAGTTTGTGTCTACAGCACTGTTGATTAATCGGGACAGGTACGAGGTAAAACACGATGTCGTTGCATTGCTAAGCGTAATAGTTCTTTTTTGCCCCAGGTTTTTGACTATCTCAAACACTTCTGAGTTAGTGTACAGGGTCACTCACATGTACCGTGAACACCGCACCAGTGCCAAAGATCACATAGAGGCTAATATTTAAATCAATAGTTCGAAAATTTATCATTGTGCTTGTCGACACCGTGATTTTACGTCATACCCAACATTTTCGTCGTCAACTACAATAAAAGTTCTAGTTTTAGCGCTTTGAATACGGATAAAAAGTTCACCGTGTGGTTGACCCTGTACGTTTAACGTACAAGGCGTTCATCGATGCACCGCCGTCAGGAAAACCAATAGACATTATGATTTTTATTCCGCTCTCTGGGCAGACGGACGGGAAGTCGACGTGCCACTGACTTCTGTTATAGCAGTGGCAGCGTGGCCGCGACCGGTCAATAATCACGGCAGAAGCCCACGCGGCGATCTACACACTGTAGGGGTGGCGGGGGGGGGGGGGGGCAGCTGCGCTCCAACTGACCCCCTCTTCAACGGTCGTATACCACGCGCTGTCTCTTCACTGGTCGCCAAAAGGATACGCTTCACGGACGACGCTGGTTATGGCCTTTTCTGTGCGTGGCCGCGAGCTGTCTATAGCACTGCGACATGTATACTATGAGGCGAGCGTTCGCCATTCACATGCGTGGCGATTTGTATACTCTTACGTATCTCCCCCCCCCCCTCCCTCTTCTCGAGCGTATAGCGCCCAAATGCGATAAGCGACGACGAGGACTGCAGCAGTCGACTGTGTCGTCGCGACCCAAGAATCCGTCCGCGGACGGCCGGCCAGTGGGGCAGGCAGTATAACACGCATCGAAGCACTCACGCACGTATAGCGCACAAGAAAAATATAAATGCAAAGCGAACGGACGTATGGACGACGCTCGCGTTTTATATTTGGAGACAGCTGGGGAATGGGGGGGGGGGGGGGGGGCGCTGACGTCGAAAACAAAAGCGTGTGACGATCGGCCGCGTATGGTACGCGCATTGCGTGTATGTATACCTGCGGCAGCAGAACGAAATGTGCGCGG